ACACATAAAAATTGTTACAGTGGGGATGGTAAAGGTCTATCTCCCTTCAGAAGCAGGAAAAATTTCAGACAATTGAGGACTTCACTCTGTTTAACTCATTTCAAATATGCTTTCCTGCGGAAGGTATGTCACAGTTAACAAATTAGCATGAGTGGGCATTCTTACTCTCTCTCTCTCTCTCTCTCTCTCTCTCACACACACACACACACACACACACACACATACACACACACACACACACAGAGTAATGTGGCAGTTGGCTTCCTTGGTTAACTAAAAAAGTCTCTCTCTAAATGGAATTAACGAGCCTCCCCACCTAGAACTCACTGTAATGTCGGGAAGAGCTTTCTGTCAGTCTGTAGATCAGAGAAAGACCGGAAATAGACTTTATTTCAAATGGAAGGCATTGACCCTCGTCACTCCCCTTCCGTCTTTGGCACTAGTACTGTGTATCATAAATCTTTGGGAATTTTTGGAACTTAGCATACTTTATAGCATTAATTCTGATGGTTTGACTCTCTGGAAATTTTTAATTGGGGCATAAAAGAAAATGTGAATAACATTCATTGTTTTATCCTATCGTGAAAGGTATAAAAATACTCGTACAGAATATAAAAGGTATTCGATTTAGGGATGACTTTGTTGTACATTTTGCATTCCTTTCCAATTGTACTATTTGTGGGCATTTAAAGTTGACCTCTGCTATTGAAGTTGTGTGTGTCCTACAGACTTCATTGAGAACTGATGTATTCTTTTCTGTTTCAAATACTATTAATTCAGGTCTGCTTCCATTTGGAGGGAATTTGTTATGCTCTCGTGGTAAATTATTGGCTGTCAAGTGTGATTTGGTTTTCATTAAGCTTTTCTATGGTTTTAGGGGTATACATGGTGATGCTTTTCCCCCTGAGAAATTTCTAGGGTTCTTTTACCCTCACTGGTCTGAGTGACCCGTGTCACTGTGGACCAGGGATGGTCTACTTCTATAAGATGCACCAAAAGACCTACAACTTTTTGACCTTTGGGATCTTTTGCCACATCCCCCATTTCCAAGTGGAGACTGTCTTCATGACCAACTTCGTCAGTCCTGACCATAGGTTAAGTGAGCGTCTCCCGGGAAGAAGCACAGGCCTGCCTCTGGGGACTTTGAGCTGGTTTACTTGACCTTGCACTCCGGGGAGGGGAGAGTGGAGTGTCAGTACTTCACAGAACGTACAAGTTCTTCCTGTTCTAGAAACAGATGGGATGGGAGCTAGCTGACTGGAACCCAATATCTTCCAGACTTCAGACTTGTCCGCCCCCTCAGGTATGCAGCCAGGAGGGAGCCACTGGGGCCAGGGGGGCTGCCTTCTCTCTTTGGATTTTGCTGAGAGGTCTGGACGTGGAATGTAATTCCTCAGGAAATCATGAAATTTGTGGCATGGCCTTTAGCATGTTAGGTCACCTGCAAAATCGTGACTCTGAGTAACTCATACAGTTTATTCGCCCTTTCAAATAGTAATTCATAATGGAGGGTTGAGACTTGCATTACTGAAGGCTTTTATTTAATGAGCTATTTCAAAATCAGACATTACACCAGATTGAAAAGGACACTCGGGACGTCATTGTTGTCCTTTTTATCCACGCACCCCTGAGTCACAGCTAAAATGACTCTACATGCCAGGGTGATATCCATCCTGGGGCATTCTATGACAGCAGTTGTAATGGGCCAGAAGAGTGATATTTCAAAGTAGATTGCATTTAGCAAAGTAAATGTGCCTCTCATGATGTTTGTTTGTTATTCTAAAAATTAGGTTTTTTTAAAACAGAGCCATTTACGTAAAATGCTAGGCCACCCAGAATGTGAAACAAAAATCATGGTCTAAAAATGCCTTTTGTTCTGAAAACTTGACCGTCATTTAGATCTTCTTAGAATGATCAATTCTTCGGAATTGTCTTCTAGGGCCAGAAGGGGTAATAAAATTTCCTATGTGAATAAAGCAGATAAGGGGGCATGAGTGTCTTTTGTCTGGGATTAAGAATTTATTTTTTTGCTTAATGTAAGCTGGTAGGGGTGGGGGGAGGGTCCTTTAATGGGGCCTATAATAAGACTGTAGTCCTTTTTCTCATCTCCGATTTCCCCCCAGTAGTTGTCATGACCTGAAGTGTTGTCCAAGGGAAAACTGCTGGATTGTTACCCACACACGCTGGGTGTGTTTCTGTAGCAAAAGCTCAAGAAACAATTTGACCTCAGCATCCACCGTTGGGGCCCTGTGACCTCTTTTCTGGGGTCCCCTGCAATTTAGGCAGTGGTCCCCACCCTTTTTGGCACTAGGGACCGGTTTTGTGGAAGACAATTTTTCCACAGTTGGGTTTGGGGGAGGGGAGGGGGGATGGCTCAGGTGGTCATGGGAGCGATGGGGGGCGGCACATGAAGCTTTGCTCACCGCCTGCTGTGCGGCCCGGTTCCTAACAGGCCGGGGACCAGGTACCGGTCAATGGCCCGGCGGTTGGGGACCCCTGAATTAAGGCATTTACCAATAGCTTCAGGGAACAGTTCCAGGAAATTCATTTTTATAACCTCCCTCAAACTGAATAAAGATGAACTTCTGAGATTTTATCAGCATTTCAGAAGAGGAAACCTCAGAATCACCAACAGCCATTTTCAGCTTCAGTCATTAGATTCCCACCTAATCTGAAGTTTTGAAGACGCCGTCGTTGAACCGTAGTTAGAAAAGTCCGTTAGCACCCTGGGCTGTTGTTGCGTTCCCCCAGCTAAGCCTGGGTGATGGGTGGACATTTCCTAAGTCAGTGGGTCTTGGCCTGATTGACTTTTGCTTCTGGTATCCTTCTGGATAACCAGCAGAGTGTAAAGAGCAGAGGTGGGTTTCTGGACCGGCTCAGAAGCAGGAAAGTTGTGGAGATGGGACAGTTGCAAGGAAGAGGCCACCCGGAGCCCAGGTGACTCGGGGCTGCCGCACCTGTTGCGCTCCCCTGGCCTGGGGGCTAACCTAGCAGCATCGGGCGGCTCCGGGGGCCCAGGCGTCCTCCAGAACCTCCCCTTTTCCCTGGCTGGTCTGGGGATCTGGAGCAGTCCCACACTCATTGCCGAGTTCCTTTTTGGAGTATTTTCCCACAGTGCCGTGATGTAGTTATACGTTGTGAGTTGACATACCAGTGTCACTGGGTTGTCTCCGATGCCCGTTTATTAATGTTTTAACAGCTAGGAATTGGGGTAGATCGAACAGTTGAGGGGGTGTGTCATGGTTTAGTCAGTGATGTTCTTTATTTCCTGCTGTGGGTTTTACAACCGATGTGGTCGCAGGTGAAATTGTATCAGGCTGGGTGAGAGGCTCTGGGCTGTCCTCCAGGGGCTCCCGGGGTCCGGGGACACATACATGCAAAGGACTCTGAGAAACATGTGATAAGGGTCACAACAGAGGCATATAATCCACATTTTATGCGCACCGGGTTGGGAGCAGATAGCCCTCTCCTGGGGATTGTTGAGGAAGGTTCATCCCCGGAGTCCCTTGGTCCTTTTATATTTGTGCATTTTGGATGAATTTCTGGAGCACAGGTTTGAGATTTTAGCCTCACCTCTTTAGACAACTCTGAGTGGTCACCCAAACCCAGATTCTGAAGCAAAACTGTGCACATGGATCGATCTACAATGTTAGGAGCTTATGAGCGTGCATGCTGAGAATTGCCTGAAAGATGAGTCAGGGAAAGAAACAGATCTGTAATCTCTGGGTCGGTTTGGACTGTTGTCAATTGTCTCCGTTTCCAGAATGTAAAATTAAGAACAGCTTACTGTCTTGGAGGCACTTGTTCGGATTTCATTTTATGAAATAAATATCTCCAGATGTAGCTGTTTTATGCAGAAGATTTCCAAGGCAGGGGAACTAAGACTTGAGTACGTTGTTAAAAAAACAGACTTCACACGATCACGGTATTATTAATGGTATGGTTTTATTTTCCAGAAACTGTATTGCTGGAAGCAGCACTTAGATATACATTTTATCTCACACTTAATATCGAGCCACTAATAAACCTCATTAGCTAGATTATCAATATTCCTATCACACCCTCTTCCATTCTATCCACAATATCTATGTCTCTTTTGGTTTAGAATTTGGATTCTTCTAAGGAAATTGCAAATGTATTGAGCACCATCATATGTTTGTCTTTTAAAGCACTGGGAGTTTTCCATGATAGGAGTTGAAGTTGAGTTCGTCTCAACCTGGTCCTGGCGTGTTATTTAAAACTCCTAACTCAGTTTTCACGTCTGTGAATTGGCGATGGTAACACGTATCTCGTTAAATAAGATGGTGGCTGATCGTTTGTTGCAGCCGGTGGGCATTTGAACATGCTGTTTCCTTCTTCTCCAGCTCGTGTTACATACTTGGATTCTTTATCTTGTGTTTTAACATTAATTTAAATGTTAGAAATGAACTACAAGGAGGATTTTGTTGTGGAATGTTCTTTGATTGAACATTCCAGCTTTAATTGAATTAAAAATCAGTTCTCTAAGGCTTGGGCTGCTTCTTTTTTGTCCTTTCTACACATTTTTTTTTTTTTTTTTTTGCATGTATCTGTGTCTCTGGGGATGTGAGGGACGAAGCATGGACTCCTCCCCCGCCACTCCAATCTCCCGTGGTCTCAGGTCTGAAACTCCTGAATCAGAAGTGCGATACTTTCGTAGCCTTGAAGATAGGAGTGGGTTCCTGTTGTTTTATGGGGAATGGAGAGTCCATTTCTAAAAGTGTGACAGCCTTCACTTTTTGGACTGAGTGATGCTTTGATGTGTTCCACTCCCGGATTGCTGTTTTGTCCGTTAGGGCAAAAGAGATGGACCGTTGAACAAGTACGGAGAGCCTATTAGAACAATTCCCGAGAGTCGTGCTCATACGAAAGGGGTAGGGCTAACCCATAAATAGGTGAAGATGCCAAAATCATTTCAGTTCAGCTCCGGACCTCAATTTGCAGGTGTTCTTCTACTGAAAGATGTTTTCTCTTATTTCCAGGGTGTGTGTGCTGGCTCTGGCTGTGGGAAATGCGACTGCCATGGCGTAAAGGGACAGAAGGTGAGTAGCCCGAGCTCCGATGACAGCAGTCTCTCTTGAATTGCCATCACTGTGGAAGTCATGAGAAATGACATTAAAACAACCAAATAATCAGCAAGTTGTGTTAAAGCCTGATTACCGTTTCAATAATTTCCCCAGAGCAATACAAATGAAGCAAAACCAAACTCAACAGTATTTTTGAGGAATCTTAACTGCTCTTCCCAAAGATTGTAATTATTGGTGGCAATTAACGTCAAGACAGTGATTTGGTTTATTTCCTTTTTTGACTGTAGAAGGAACAAGTATATTGGCAGAAAATCTGTTGAGTCAATAGCATTCTTTGGAATTAGTGAATGAGAACTAAACTCAGCCTTTTTCTGAAAAAAGAGAACATTTATATTGAACTCTAGAGCCTTCTCTTCAAATTAGAATTTTTAAACAATTGTAAGTTCATAACATACTTGTCTCGATTTATTTACAGAAACAGTAACTATTTATTGTTTCCCAAATGCAAAATTATAATATTTTTTTCTAAGCAAGTACTCTGCCTCTCTCTTACTTGAAGGATCACAGATCTGGATAAAGATTATTTTCTGTTGAAGGCAGGCAGTTGTTTTGAGAGAGGGTCCTTACCCGGGGACAGTGCCGCATCCTGTAACTGTCTGGGGGTCACCATGGAAACTGGGCGGGGCCGTGAGACAGCATGGCCAGTTGGCCAGTCAGTGGGACCCACAGCAGCTGGGGCCATCTGGAACGGAGGGAGGGGCCCCCGTGGACCTCTGCCGGCTTTCTGGGACTGGAGGTGTCATTCAGCAGGGCCAGGGTGCAAATTCTTCTCTCCTTTCTGTTGTGTGCAGGGCATATGGGGCCACAGACTCACACTTTTGAAATTCAGCAAATTCTACTTTACAGAAAATTGTTTCATTTCTTTTCAGCTATTTGCTGAAGAACCAACATTATTCTTTTAAAAAATATGTTGACAGTTGGTGGCACTGGTATTACCTGGATAGGTTTTTGAATAAATGAAGTATGTGGAAACATTTTTATGTCTTTCATCATCAACTTTATCAACTATAATTCATCTTCAGGTGCTGTTCCTTCTCTTACTTGGGAAGTTTTTCTAGCTAGTTCCAGGCTGCATCCTTGAGAGGAGAGGCAAGTCTGTTCATACCACAGATTCTTTTTCTGTATGTGTGTCTAACTTGAATTATAAGCACGCTGAACTAACAAAGAAATCCTTCAAACTACAAAAAGTGGAACTTTCAACGAATAGGAAATGGAGACCTGTATCAGCACTACTCTGCTTTTCTTGTAACTTAAAGCATCAGGGCTCAGGCAGAGTTGGTGTTTCTCGCTCGTAAAGAGAATGTGTCCATTCCACCCGCTTTCTTGATCTCCACTCCCCTCCATCAGCTGTAGACCCGGTGGCACTTCCCCAGGCCCTGGTGCTTTTCAGACTTCCTATTCTGGCCTTATGTTTTCTAGCCTGATTCATTTGAATTTTAACCAAAAATCTACCCATTGTATGTAACAAGGTAGATTTATCCAGGTGTAGCTTTCCAAATATTTTTGGCTGACTTCTCGACTTGACAGGGACCTGGCCCATGTCAGTTCAGAGCTGGCGAAGCATCGTTGGAGATGGCAGGTCACATCTCACTCACAGGGGGCATCTGACACCCACCCCAACAAGGAAAGGGTCTTTAAGTGTTTCTTTTCAAATCCGAGCATTGAGGAAGCCCTTGCTGTGGCCAGTGTGTCAGGAGAGCTAGGTCTGTGCTTATCGGACACACAGGAACATACACCGGAGGCCCTGCCTTCCACTTTGGCACGGGAAGGTCAAGGTGGGAAGGTCACAGGACCTCAGTGGTCCTTCCTGGCCTGACCTTGCTCCCTCGACTGTCTGCTCCATTGCCCACTTTGGGTTTTGTACCTTATTATTAAATAAAGACTATTTAAAATAAAATACTGGCAAGCTTTGGGTTAAACCATTCTGAATTTGTGTTTTAAAAGGCTCTAATTTTTTTTTTTTTTCGGTACGCGGGCCTCTCACTGCTGTGGCCTCTCCCGTTGCGGAGCACAGGCTCCGGACGCGCAGGCTCAGCGGCCATGGCTCACGGGCCCAGCCGCTCCGCGGCATGTGGGATCTTCCCGGACCGGGGCACGAACCCATGTCCCCTGCATCGGCAGGCGGACTCTCACCAGGGGAGCCCAAGGCTGTAATTATTGAATGGATTCAGATGGCCTCTCAAAATTTAGGGGACTAGCTAAATGATTTAGTATTATAACCTTTAAACAGAAATCGGAGCTCTGTCTTTTCTCTCCTTGAGCATAAATATTTCAGGTCCTGTGGTTCACATAGCATGAGCCGGGAAGAGGGCCTTCCTCCCACTGAAAGAGGAAATTTTAAACTTCCACTTATTGTCTCGGACGTGATGTTAAAATAATCAGTTTAACGATGGGAAACACCCAGAGCTTGACTGAGCTGGGACTTCAGGTCTGGTTCCCTTTCTCTCATCCCAAGGTCAGATAACAAAGAAACGTATTCTTGGTTGGCACGTCAGCAAGAGAAATTGGTCTCCTCCATCTGCCACCACTGTTCTCAAAGTGGGTCCTGCACGTGCTAATCGGGTGTAAATGCAATAAATGAATAAAGGCTTGAGCATCACAGAATTTACATCGAGTGGTTCAAATCACAGGCCTGCTTTTTGAGCTACTAATGCCTGTTTTCGATTCTCACAGGAGTTATTGCTGTTCTCCAATGTGTACAAGTTAAATGAATTCTGACGTGCTTTTGAAAATAGGATGATAGAAGCCATATAACTCAGGGAGAGTTCAAATTACCTAACTGAGACAGAGTGTCAACTGCCTGAGAACTTTGGAAACCTTTGTTTCTGAGAAACGCCCCCTCGAGGATCCCTTGAACATATTAGCTATTTAGAATCCACCAATGGAAATCGGAGTATCTCCAGTATAGATTGCCAAATCCCTTTTGGCGAAGTCCTGCGTTCCATGGAGATATGATTAATTGACAGAATGTCTTATATTCTCCAGATATCATAAGCAAGTATGAATGCATTAGATCATTGGTTGTTTTACAATCTCGTAGTTATCAGTATAGTGCTAGGGATCTTATTCTGAGTTCAACAGTTAAACTCACTGAGCCTTTCACTGAATTTCAGTCTTTGCTGACTTGTTTATTTTCCCACTTCCCTGGCTGGCCACGCAGATCTTCAGATGTTTTCTCTAGGTAATTAATTTGGGCTTGTACACAGTGACGTCGTGTCTTTCCAGGGGCCTCAGCAGTGTGGGAATGGTGTCTCCTTAAACTGATTAGGGTTTTGAATTCATGCCTCCTCAGGAAGGGCCAGAAGTTAAGCTCTTATTTTGCTCAGTAACCTGATTTTCTCAATTATTTGAGGTAGTGGGAAAGGCAACCTATTCCCAGGAGTTACTGCCATAGGCCGGGAAATGAACCATTTATACTTGGCAAAAATTGAGTTTGCACAAGAAGTCTTTCACATATTTTAACCACAGGAGCCCACGTTTATGTAAAGCTTCCATTCTATTCTGTGACCCTTGCAGTGTCCAGAGAAGGACGCTTCAAGTTTCCTTGAAGTAAGAGATATACACATGAAATAAATAACAAGTTAAGAGTAAATGATCAAATTGCAGGAGAAACAGCAGAGAAAACAAGTGCTACAGTTGTCCTGAGAAGGGAGTGATCCCAGTGGCCTAGGACCATAAATAAAGGGGCAGTCTCCTGGGTGAATTAGGTCATGTGTTCACTAATTCTTCAGACTCACTTGGATATAGAATAGGGTCATCTGTCACACAGCTGCAAAAAGATAGATGCTGAATTTAACTACACTGATCAGAGAAAATAGCCCCTGTGGCCTGTTGATAAATGCTACCATGGCAAAGGGTTGATGGTTCCTAACAGAGTGACTCTTTTTTTGTGGCCTCTCCCGTTGCGGAGCACAGGCTCCGGACGCACAGGCTCAGCGGCCGTGGCTCACGGGTCCAGCCGCTCCGCGGCATGTGGGATCTTCCCGGACCGGGGCACGAACCCGAGTCCTCTGCATCGGCAGGCAGACTCTCAACCACTGCGCCACCAGGGAAGCTCCAGAGTGACTCTTGAAAGGGACTTTCCCAAACCACAGTCTTGGGAGCACAGAGAATCTTAATGAAGCAGAATTGTAGTATTTCTAAGGAACGATGAGAATCAGCGTAGGTGTCTCATAGCTCCTCAGAACACTTTAACCTGCTGATACCCAGATCCTTGCCAACAACGTGGGGAAGAAACACATTCTCCTTTTATTTACTAATTAGACTGTCTGTGAATCACAGCCCCTCTCTACATACTGGCTCATCAGATAGTGCCCGCCCAGGCTGCATTCAAAGCAGAGAGCTTTGAAAATGGAATTTCTGTCTCCTTGTCTAAAACACGCAGCCCTTCTGATTTAGAAGAGTTGGAGGTGTCTGTCCAACCTGAAGTGATTCCGTTTCCGGCGCTGGAAATCTGGGGAGAAGCTTATGTTGCTTCATGCCCTGCGCTGGTGCGTGCTTCTCTCTTGTTAGGGTGGATGGTCTGTGGCTTCACCAGCCCTTTACCTCCTGTGTATATTTGACACAGTCGACAGACATCCCGTGTCAGACCTCCATGTAAACCTGTCTGTCTGCATCTGACGTTGAATTATAACCTCTGCTTAGACACGGCAGATCTCGGCCAGAACAGAAACATCCCGGCTTTGGAGGGTCAGAGTGAGAAAGAGAAAGGGGCTGATGTGTACTGACTGTGTCCCTTGGGCCAGGCACAGTGCTGAATCTTTTTTTTTTTTTGTGGTGCGTGGGCCTCTCATGTTGTGGCCTCTCCCGTTGCAGAGCACAGGCTCCGGACGTGCAGGCTCAGCGGCCATGGCTCACGGACCAAGCCGCTCCACG